AATCAAATTTTGAATTAAAAAAAAAAAACACTTTCAAACAAATCATTTAGATTTTATTGCTAAGAATTGAAAAAACTTTAGGATTTTGTTATCAAAAATTGAAAAAAATTTAAACTCACTTATTTTTTTTTTTTTTTTTTGGGCCATCAATGCTTAATATTCTTAAGTATTCACTTTTTCTTAAGTGTTGACTCAATGCACTCCAAGAGGAGGGGTGAATTGGAGTTGGAGAATTTTCATCTCTTTGCAACCACTAAACTAAAATTAAAGAGAGAGTTGAGAACAAGAGCTTGCACAATGATTTTATAGAGGTTCAGTCCAACCACTTGGGACCTAATCCTCTACCTTGGCTTCACTCACCAAGGATTTCCTCCACACTCTCCATTAACAAAAACAATGGTGGCTTAAAGGAGCCACTCAATCCTTTACAAGAAGATAAGTATTTCTCTCAAACCTCACCCCTTTACAATGTAAACCCCACAAATCCTCTTAATAGATCACTATTGAAGGAATCAACACACCCCCAAGATCACTCACTAATAGCACAAGAAGAGGATTACAAGCAATGATCACTCAAAGATCAAAAACTCAAGTTTAAGCTCACATAAGTAGGTAAAGATATGCAATGTAATATTCTCCTAACTTCTTCATATTTGTTACCAATCATATTTATAGCCCCTTGCTCGAATATAGCTGTTTCTAGCCGTTGGGGGTCATTAAATGCTTTGGAGGACGCATGGCTCGAGTTGTAGAACTGTCAGGAGAGCCAACTTAACTTTCTAGAGCCGGGTCTGCAGAGCCGGCTTACACTTCCATAGCCGGCTATCCGGTTTTGCAGCCTATTCTGTTTTTCTCGAGAGCCGGCTGTAAGACTTTGAACTGGCTTTGAAACTCCGACTTTAAATACATCAAATATTCTTCAAATAAGTCGACCGTTGTGCATTAAATGCACCCTCACAGCCGGACATAAAGTTGGAGCCGGCTTTGCATCTTTTCTCCGCGCACGCCAAGCAACGGTCTTCAAATTTTTGCCTGTAAAACTAGTTGCAGCTTCCAAAGTCGGCTCTCTGCACTTTCATTTCACCAGAGCCAGCTGCAGCTTTCAAGAGCCGGCTCTCTGCATACTTTGAATCCTTTTGGTCTATTTTTAGTGCAATCCAAGTTTACTTGCAATCTTTTAGCAACTTAACTACACACTTAAATAAACCAATTAGTCACTCAAATGTGTTTTGTAATCATCAAAATCATAGGTACAACAATCTCCCCCTTTTTTATGATGACAAAACACTTTGAGAATGAATTAATGAAAGCACATATATACTTCAATATTACCCAGAATTTCAGCACAAAGATAAAGCACATATATACTTCAATATTAGCTAGAATCTTAGCACAAAGATACTCTAGAAAATGACATTAAATTCAGCATATTCTTCTCCCCCTTTTTGTCATTCATCAAAAAGCACATAATCAACAAACTCTCCCTTAATTCATGCTATCAACCTTTAAAGCATCAAGAGTATGAATATAATCATCAATATAGCACCAAAGTTATGAATACACTCATCAACTAATAAACTCCCCCTCAATAAGAGCATATTATCATCAAAATCATAAGCAACCATTCACAAAGCATGATAACATAAGTGATGCCATTTCCATTCATAAAACAAGATAAAAAAGGTTCAAGACATATCCATAGTCAAATAAAACATAAAATGCATAACCCTAAGATGTCCATCCTAAAGATTAGCCAAACTAAAGAAATATCAAGTCAAGTGGCATCAGGTGTGGGTGGAGGAAAAAAATGGTTAACAAGCCGATCAAGCTTTCCTTCCACGTTAGTTAGCTTTCCTTCCACGTTAGTCATTCTCCCTCTCATTTCTGTCAGGAAACCATAAAAGTCAGTGTGCAGCTGCTACGTCTCATATATCATTAACTCCATGGTTTCAAGGTTAGTTCTTTGCATGGAGGCTCGAAATGGTCTTGGGCTGTCATCTTCATGTTCTTCTGCCCCTTATTCTGCCATTTCTTGATCTGTATCACCTTCTTCTTCATCCCCTTCTTGTTCCCCTTTCTTTATCCAAGTGTCATTTCTAAACAAACAGTCCATTTTTTCAAAAGAAGCTTTGGTAAGTGTAGTCCCACCGGGAACCGTTCCGAACCTAAAGGATGTCAGATCAATATTGTTTCTCTTCGCCAATCTGGTAATTAAAGCACCATGAGGAAGTCCCATAGTTGGTGAGTAAGGCTTGATTATGCTCCGGAAAATGAATCTTCCTAGGTTCACCCTTTTTCTGTTAAGAAGATAGTCAAACCAGGAAGATCACTGGCAAGAACATAAGATTTAGAACCCTTCCTCTGAGCAATAATGCGAGATATAATCCATTGCAATGCTTTATTTTCTGGTGAAAGAGACCCCACTTTAATTTGATTTTCAGTGCAATTAGAGGCAATTGTGGCTCTAACTAAGGCATGATTCACATCTAGAAACTCATCATCTCCTCCTTCAGGTATATTTAATTCAGCACAAATATCCCTCGGTGAAAACTGAAATGACACCCCAGCAACCATAGTTTTGCATTTATTCCCTCTTGGTTTCAAATTAGCATAAAATTGATGAACAACTTCATAATACACGTGCTCTTTAACTTCTACATAATCCTTCCGCCCAAGTTCCCTAAACATTTCTTCAACATGCATATCTCCTTGAGGAAATTGACTGAATTTGACACAATTGCAAGATAAAACAGCCATATTCTTGATAATTTCATACTGTGTAGAGGCTTGGGTATCCAAAAAGAGATTGGATTGGGAAATGTTACCTTCTTTTTCTTGAGCTTGACCACCGGTGCTAGAACTACCCACTTGTCTCCTTTTACTTCCAGCCCTTTTTGAAGCCATGCGAGAGAAATCCCAACAGCCACAGCAAAAATATAGTAGATCCCACACAAATTGAAGTGAAAAGCTTGAGGTTTTGTGTTGGGTAGGCAAGGATTTGATGGTATTTGAGTGTTTAAGGGATGGGTTTTGGAGATTTGGAGGGATTTGGGTGTTTGGGAGAGTGAATGGCGAGTTTTGGGAGAGGAGAGGTCATGGGTTTGGGTGAGAAAATGAAACAGATCTAACTGGTTTGTGCGAGGAGAGAGAGAAACCCGAGCCTTAAAATCTGCAGGAGTGCCGGCTATAATTGCAGAGCCGGTTGAAGAGCGAGTCCGGGTCGAGTCGCCTGCAGGTTAAGCCAGCTGGTGAACCTAGAGCCGGCTGTGGTTTAGAGAGAAAAGACTCTCGGTTTTTTTGGGTCGAGTCGGCTGTGAAGCTAGAGCCGGCTGTGCTGTAGAGAGAGAATACTCTCGGGTTTTTGGTTGAGCCGGCTGTGAAAAGGGATGAGCCGGCTCTACTGGCCTTGATTGGGACAAACAGAAAGTTTGGGGCTGTTTTGAAGGGAATGCACCTTAATTTGATATATCTTCATTTAACTAAGTTTAAATTGGACATCCACTATTAAATAATGCAACTTTAGTCATATATCAATGAATGCATCATCAAATATCATGAATATAATCAAAGTACACAAATCAAAGCATCAATATACACAAATTCTAATAATCAAATTCATTAATTTCAAGAATCATATCAAGCACTAGGATCCAACATGCCAAGCTCATTAATTTGCATAAATATTAATAATCACATCAAATGATATCATATTCAACAAGCATATATATAAGAGTGAACACATATAAACAAATTGAAGTAATTATACTCAATGAATAAATGCAATAAAATAAATAATACCAATTTGAGAACATGAGTAGAACATTCAAAAACAAATTTCCTTTGCACTTCCACTCCAACATTCTTGTTGAGGCATAAGTCCTTTTTAAGATCTACTTTGCTTTCCTTATGACTTTGCCATCAACTTTTCCTACAAAACAAAATTAAGTTTTGATATTTGGTACCCAAGTTTGCTTGGGTCCATGGGGGTTAGTTTTTATGGTTCCTTTTGGAACCCAAATTTGTTTCACTTTACCTTGAGCTATTAATCTTTTTAAAGAACAAGCATAAGCAAAGTGTCCATTTGCACCACAACAATAGCAAGTAACACTAGGATGATATGATTGACTTGCTCTTACAAAGGTAGTCTTAAAAGTCTTTTGCTTTTTAGAATAATCAAATCCAATGCCTCCTTTGTCATAAACACTTCTTTGAGATTTTAAGATAGAATCAAATTTTTCTTTACTCAAGATAAATTTGGAAATCACATTTTCAAGATCACAAGCTTTTCTCTTTAAAACCTCATTTTCCTTCTTTAAATCTTCATTTCCTTTCTTTAAATCCTCATTTTCCTTTTTCAAAGCATTATTAGACTCCTCATTCTTTAAAGAAGCAATCTCACTATTTAAAGAGGCAATCTCACTATTTAAAGAGGCATTCTCTTTAACTAAAACCTCATTTTGTTTTGAGAGAGATTCAATCTCATTCCTAAGCAATGAAATGGTTTTAGTAAGAGCAATATTATCATTTCCTAGTTTCTTAATGTCATTCATAGAGCAATCAAGAACTTTGCATAAATCATCATAAGAATACTCAAAGGAACTTTCATTAATTGAACTAGAAAAGTTAGAGTTTACCTCCTCATCATTGTTGTCATCCTTTTGAGCCATGAAGCAAAGATTTGCAACACCTTTCTCCAAGGAGCTTTCACTTTCTGTTGAGCTAGTTTCATCATCGCTCCAAGTGGCGGCAAATGCTTTCTTCTTCTTCTTGTCTTTCTTCTCACCTTTCTTCAATTTGGGGCATTCATTTCTATAGTGCCCCATCTTGTTGCACTCATAGCATTTCACACTCTTTTTGGTGGATTCTCCTTCATCTCTTCTTGCAAGCTTGCTCTTGATGTTTTTCTTCATGAATCTCTTCACTTCCTTTGAAATCAATTTGGTGATGTCCTCCTCATTGCTAGACTCATCATTACTAGCATCATCTTCACTTTCTTTCTTTTGGTTGCTAGCCTTAAAAGCAACATTCTTCTTCTTCTTCTCAACTACTTCAACTCCACCATCACCTTGCACTTCTATCTCATATGTCATCAATTTACCAATGAGATCTTCAAGCTTGAGAGTGTTGAGATCCTTAGATTCTTCAATTGCTGTCTTCTTGGCATCCCAACTCTTAGGCAAGCTTCTAAGAACCTTTCTCACCACTTCTTGAGGAGGATAGACTTTACCAAAAGCCTTGAGATTGGTGACTATGTCATTCAATCTTGTATACATATCTTGAATGCTCCCCTCCGGTTTCATCTTGAAAAGCTCATACATGTAAATGAGTCTATTGATTTTTGACTCCTTTACTTGGCTTGTTCCTTCATGAGTGACTTCTAGCATGTCCCACATCTCCTTAGCCGTATCACACCCGAAAACTCTATGGAATTCCATTGGATTGAGAGCACATTGAAGCATGTTGATTGCCTTTTTGTTGATCATGATCTTCTCCAAGTCTTCATCATTCCAATCTATCTCTTCCTTTGGCACCTCCCTTTCTCCAACAATTTTCATGGGTACATATGGACCTTTCATAGTCACAACCCATGCCTTGGGCACATTTGCAAGCATGAAGACCTTCACCCTATTCTTCCAATAATTATAATTAGTACCATCAAAGAAAGGAGGCTTAGTGGTAGACAAACCTTCAAGTGGTTGAGAAGATAGAAATTGAGCCGTTCCCGATCAACTCCTAGGTGGTTAAACCTTCAAATTGGAGCCCTTGCTCTAATACCAATTGTTGACTCAATGCACTCCAAGAGGGGGGGTGAATTGGAGTTGGAGAATTTTCACCTCTTTGCAACCACCAAACAAAAATTAAAGAGAGAGTTGAGAACAAGAGCTTGCACAATGATTTTATAGAGGTTCGGTCCAACCACTTGGAGCCTAGTCCTTTACCTTGGCTTCACTCACCAAGGATTTCCTCCACACTCTCCACTAACAAAAACAATGGTGGCTTAAAGGAGCCACTCAATCCTTTACAAGAAAATGAGTATTTCTCTCAAACCTCACCCCTTTACAATGTAAACCCCACAAATCCTCTCAATAAATCACTCTTGAAGGAATCAACACACCCCAAGATCACTCACTAATAGCACAAGAAGAGGATTACAAGCAATGATCACTCAAAGATTAAAAACTTAAGTTTAAGCTCAAGTAGGTAGGTAAAGATATGCAATGTAATATTCTCCTAACTTCTTCATATCTGTTACCAATCATATTTATAGCCCCTTGCTCGAATATAGCCATTTCTAGTTGTTAGGGTCATTAAATGCTTTGCAGGACGCATGGCTCGAGTTGCAGAACTGTCAGGAGAGCCGGCTTAACTTTCTAGAGCCAGGTCTGCAGAGCCGGCTTACACTTCCATAGCCGGCTATCCGATTTTGCAGCCTATTATGTTTTTCTCGAGAGCCGGCTGCAAGACTTTGAGCCGGCTTTGAAACTCCGACTTTAAATACATCAAATATTCTTCAAATAAGTCAACCGTTGTGCATTAAATGCACCCTCACAGCCGGCCATAAAGTTGGAGCCGGCTTTGTGTCTTTTCTCCGCGCGCACCAAGCAACGGTCTTCAAATTTTTGCCTGTAGAGCCGGCTGCAGCTTCCAGAGCCGGCTATCTGCACTTCCATTTCACCAAAACCGACTGCAGCTTTCAAGAGCCGGCTCTCTGCACACTTTGAATCCTTTTTGTCTATTTTTAATGCAATCCAAGTTTACTTGCAATCTTTTAGCAACTTAACTACACACTTAAATAAACCAATTAGTCACCCAAATGTATTTTGTAATCATCAAAATCATAGGTACAACATTAAGTATGCTTAGTATTATATGAATTAATATTTTTCATTTCTTAAGTCATTCTCCCTTGATGTAATATACAAATAATAGAAAATAATAATAAATATACTAATTTAATATACATCAAATATTTGAATAAAAATAATGTTCCTCCCCTTTAATAGGAAATTATAAGGATAGCTTTAGATATTGTTTTAGTACATATTTATACATTAATTTTTATTATTATTAATGTTGTATTGTTATTATTGTTGTTGTTGTTGTTGTTGTTATTATTGTTATTATTATTATTATTATTAAATAGCAATTTCAAAATAAGTGTTAAGAAAAATATCCAAAAATAAATAAATAAATAATAATCAAAATTTATTTGACTGATTTTGACATTTATAAAGTCAATGAACTAATATGGATATTTCTTAAATTCTTCATATTTCTAATTTATTCCTCAAAAAACTTATTTTGCATCATCACCATCACATTCTTTGTACGTTTACATTCAAAACAAATACATATATTTACATATTTTATTATTTTTAAAAAAGTATTTTTGATAAAAAATTTTCTATATAAAATAAAATCAAACAATTCATACAAAAATCTTCTTCTTTGTCAAGCTTTTTTAGATCTCACTTCCTCATGCACATTTTTTTCCAACAAAAAAAAAAGTGCATGAGGTGAAAAAACTTAAAAATGATAAAATAAATAATGAATAAAAGTGTTATATGTTATAAATGATGATGAATGAAATTGTAATCATATGTTTTTATTCTCCATAAAAATTAAGCATCTATTTATCTTCCTTTGGCTTAATTCATTCATTGTATATGTAATGAAAGCTAATAATAGTAATATAATTGAGAACATTAAAAAGAGAAGTGGAAGTGGAAGAGAAGAAGATGAGAAGATAAGAAGGTAAAACCAATATTATTAATACGTATATTTATTCTATTTAAATATAAAAATACTATATTTTCTTTTTAACTTTTAACAAAATATATTTTTTATAATTAAAATAAAAATGACAAATTTTAGTGCTTAATTAATACTATATAGATATAGATAGATAGATATAGACATAAATATAGATAGTTAATCTAAGAAATTTTTGCCTTTTAATTTTCCTTTTTTAATATATAAATTTTATTAGTTGTTAGTCTAATAATTAAATAATTTTTACCTTATACTTTTATTATTTTTTTCATCTTCCTTAATTATTTTTAATCCTTATTAATTAAATTTATAATCCTTTAAAATTGAAGTTAAAAAATATCAACTATTATTTTAATAAAAAAATCAAACCATATATATTCTTAATATGCAAAATCTACATAAAGTATTATAAAATAAGAAAAAGTATTTAACAATTCTCTCTTCTTCTTTTTTTTACGTTAGCCTTTATCAACTCTTCTTTTTATAATAACTTAACTTGCAAAATTTTATTTTATGGTTATTTTTCTTGTCCCTTCTCCAATTTCCAATTTCCTATCATTTTTTTCCATTCCTATTTTATTTCTTTAACTTGTATTACAAACTATTTTAATATATCAATATAAGTGCCCAAATTAAAGTTACAAAAAGAAAGTTATTTAAATAAAATTTTATTGTAATTGAATACATATTTCCAAATATATATAACAGTAATATTGGGGATATATATATACAATTTAAAAGAAATAAGAAGTAGAATTTATATTTAAAAGGATAAACAAGTTAATAATAATATAATATGAATAAAATAAAATAAACATAATATTTTACAAAAAATACAATATTTTTATATAACTTGATTTTTATCAAATTTATACTTTTGTTGGTCAGTTTAGTGTATGAATCAAAGAAGTAGATACACTACCGGCCGGTACGTACCAGTTTTTGGAGTAGACCGAAACGAAATAAGAATGAATTTCGTTTCGGTCAAAATTCGATGATTTCG